ACAGCAGCCGAGCCGCCCAGCAGCAGCCGAGCCGCCCAGCAGCAGCCGAACCGCCCAGCAGCAGCCGAGCCGCCCAGCAGCAGTCGAGCCGCCCGGTACCTGAGCCGCCCGAGCCGCCCGAGCCGCCCAAGCCGCCCGAGTCGCCCAAGCCGCCCGAGTCGCCCGAGCCGCCCGAGCAGCCCGAGCCGCCTGCTGCTGACCTACCCGACTCTCCCATCCCGGTGAGACTTTCAGCTGCTGCCATGGCCACCCCCAATGTTCTCACTTTTGACGCTGAGGGGAGGGCCATTGACTTTGCCGTCTGGATCGAGGACCTGCAGCTGTACTTACTGTGTGATGCGGTAGATGAGGTCTCTCTCTTTGACTTTGTCTCTGGCGCTGTCCCTGCCCCGCCTGCTGATGCTGACTCTGCCGTTCGCTCCAAGTGGGCGACCCGCGATGCTGCTGCACGTCTTGCTGTGCGTCGCCACCTCCCTTCCTCTGAGCGTGCCCACTTTAGTCAGTGCAAGACCGCTCAGGCCTTGTACGACGCTGTAGTTGCGCGCTACTCCTCCCCTTCCTCCGCTACCCTTAGCCGCCTCATGCTACCGTTTCTCTTCCCTGACCTCGCTTCCTTTCCCACTGTCGCTGACCTCGTTACCCACCTCCGCGCTAGTGACACCCGCTACCGCGCTGCCCTTCCTGCTGAGTTCCGCGCTGCGAACCCTCCTCCCATGTACATCACTCTCTACTTTCTCGTCACCCGTCTCCCTGAGTCCCTTCGTGTCGTTAGGGACCAGTTTCTCTCTGTCTGTCCCACCACTCTCACTGTCGACCTCCTTGAGGAGTCCCTGCTAGCGGCTGAGAAGAGTATTGTCGCTGTAGGGGCCTCTCGGGGTGACCCTCGCACCCCCATCTTTGAGGGGTGTGGTCCTTCCCCCCTGCTGCCCTCTGTCGCCTCTGCCGCTGCGGCCGACCTCGTTGGTTTTGAGTCGGTCGGCGCGGCGTCTGCCCCCAGTGGCAGACGCCGCACTGGCAAGGGCAAGGGGGGCAAGGGAGCGGGTGGAGCCAGAGGGGGGCGGTGGAGGAGGCGGTGGGGGTGGAGGGGGGAGTGGGGGTGGCGGGGGGGGTGGTGGCGGGAGTGGAGGTAGTAGTGGCGGCGGTGGAGGCGGAGGTGGCGGCGGAGGTGGTAGCGGAGGAGGCGGTGGGAGCGGTGGGAGCGACGGTCCTGGTGGGGGGAGGTGGCGGTGGCGACGGGGGTGGCGGTGGAGGCGGGGGTGGCGGTGGAGGAGGGGGTCGGAGTGGCTCGTCCCAGCGGAGCAGCTCTGGGGGTGGTCAGCGCCAGCAGCAGCAGCAGCAGCAGCCGCAGCAGCAGCCGCAGCAGCAGCAGCGCTCTCGCACCGTCCCCGGCCCTCAGCAGCTCCGTGAGTGGTACTTGCAGCGTCAGCGCGGTGGTGCGCTTGGTCCCTGCCCCTACGTTCTTCGCACTGGTGACCGTGCAGGGGAGAGGTGTGGAGGCGCCCACACAGCCCGTCGCTGCTTTGGCCGCCTGACCGACGCCTGGCGTCAGCAGTTTCCGGAGGCCGCTGAGATCCCCCGCTGGGGAGAGCTGTCTAGGGCTGGTGTAGCTATTTATGATCTTGATTTTGATGCTATTCTCTCTGCTATGTATGCTGTGACTGGTAGTGATGAGGATGACTGTTACCGGTGTTTCCCGCCCGACCCGGGCATTGGTACTTGCCGCGTCAGGTACTAGTGAGGCTGCTGCTCTAGGTGCCAGTGCGTCTGTGCTTTCAGGTACTGGTGAGTCCGCCCTCTCAGGTACTGTGTCGGCTTCGGCCTCTCACACCTTCACCCTTGACTCTGGAGCGTCTCGCTCCTTCTTTAGGGACCGCACCACTCTCACGCCGCTGAGTCGGCCTGTTGCGGTGTCCCTGGCGGACCCCTCTGGGGGGCCTGTCCTGTCTCGCTTCTCCACTGTCCTCCCGTGTCCGGCGGCCCCCTCTGGCACCCTGACTGGTCTCTACCTCCCCTCGTTCTCGACGAACTTGGTGAGTGGTGCTGACCTCCAGGATGCAGGTGTCCACCAGTTCACCCCTGCTCGTCAGCGGGTGACCCACTGTACGGAGGCGGATACAGGTCGCCACCTGGCTACGTTTACACGTCGGCCGGGGTCGAGCCTGTACACACTGACCACTGCTTCTCCTCCAGGTACTGCGTCTGGTAGGGCCCCTTCGTCTGGTCAGGTGTTTGCTGCAGCGTCCAGGTCTGGTCCTGAGTCTGCCCCTTGTTCGTGTCGTCGTCTGTCTCACGAGACCCTCCTCTGGCACCACCGCCTTGGCCACCCCTCTCTGCTTCGGCTCAGAGGCATGGCCTCGCGGGTCCTTGTGTCTGGTCTTCCCCGGTCCCTCCCTCCCCTTCCTCCGGGCCCTGGCCCTGCCTGTGTCCCCTGTGTCGAGGGGCGCCAGCGTGCTGCCCCTCACTCCTCCCAGTTTCCTCCGACAGAGGCCCCGTTGCAGACGCTTCACATGGACGTGTGGGGCCCAGCCCGCGTCCGTGGACAGGGTCAGGAGCGCTACTTCCTGCTAGTGGTTGACGACTACTCGCGTTACACCACAGTCTTCCCCTTGCGCAGCAAGGGTGAGGTCACTCAGGTGTTGATCGACTGGATCCGCGCAGCTCGTCTTCAGCTTCGGAGAAGCTTTGGCTCTGACTTCCCTGTCTTGCGTCTGCACTCGGACAGAGGCGGAGAGTTCTCCTCGGCCCTCCTGAGTGCCTACTGTCGTGTGCGAGGCATCCGTCAGACCTTCACGCTTCCGGACTCACCACAGCAGAATGGGATCGCTGAGCGCCGCATTGGCATGGTCATGGACGTCGCTCGTACGTCCATGATGCATGCGGCTGCTCCCCATTTTCTGTGGCCGTTTGCGGTCAGGTACGCTGCGCACCAGATCAACCTCCACCCCAGGGTCTCTCGACCGGAGACCTCCCCAGCTCTGTTGTGGACGGGGAAGGTTGGCGATGCGTCGGCGTTCCGGGTCTGGGGATCTCGGGCGTTTGTTCGCGACCTGTCTGCGGACAAGCTGTCCCCTCGTGCTTCTCCCTGCGTCTTCCTCGGGTTCCCCCCCGACGCCCCTGGGTGGCAGTTTTACCACCCCACCTCTCGACGTGTTCTGTCCTCCCAGGACGTCACGTTCGACGAGTCGGTACCCTACTACCGCCTCTTCCCCTACCGCACTCCGTCCCTCCCCCCACCCCCGCTCTTCTTGGTACCAGGTCCCCCCCCAGTAGTCCCCCTCCCCCCTCAGGGTCCTGCCCCTTCAGGTGTGTCTCAGGTAGACGCGGTCGAGCCTGTCGAGGTCACTGGTGACTCCGGTGCTGCTGCGGGAGCTGAGCCTGGGGGTGTGGAGTCTGGGGGTGCTGAGCCTGGGGGTGCGGAGTCTGGGGGTGCTGGGCCTGGGGGTGCTGAGCCTGGGGGTGCTGTGCCTGGGGGTGCTGAGCCTGGGGGTGCTGTGCCTGGGGGTGCTGTGTCTGGGGGTACTGAGCCTGGGGGTGCTGAGCCTGGAGGTGCCGAGCCTGGAGGTGCTGTGCCTGGGGGTGCTTCGTCTCGCCGGGAGCCGCTCTCTCCACAGGAGCTGAGCTTGTTGGCTGCCTCATGTACCTGATGACCTGCACACGACCTGACCTTGCATACCCTCTGAGCATCCTTGCACGCTATGTTGCTCCTGGGAGACACCGACCAGAGCACATGGCTGCAGCGAAGAGGGTATTGCGCTACCTGTGCAGTACGTCGGGCATGGGGCTAGTGCTTGGAGGGCGGAGTCCAGTGGTCCTTACTGGGCACGCAGACGCTTCTTGGGCTGACGACCAGGCTACGCAGCGGTCGTCACAGGGTTACACCTTCAGCCTTGGTTCCGGCTCTGTCTCGTGGCGGTCTACTCGCTCGTCTTCGGTTCTCGGCTCCAGTTGTGAGGCTGAGATCTACGCCGGGGCCATGGCTGCACAGGAGCTTCGCTGGCTCACCTACCTGCTGACTGACCTTGGAGAGCTGCCTCGTTCTCCTCCAGTGCTGTACGTAGACAACAAGGCCATGTTGGCCTTGTGTCGAGAGCAGCGCTTGGAGCACAGAACGAAGCACATTGCTCTCCGCTACTTCCTTGCTCGTGAGCTGCAGCAGCGTGGTCAGTTGCGACTTGCTTACGTGGCCTCTGAGGCCAACACTGCTGATGTGTTCACCAAGGCACTTGCGCCTTGCGACCATCAGCGCTTTTGTACCCAGCTGGGTCTTGTACCTGTCTTGCCTCACTTGCTCTCTTCTTGACTTTACTTGTACTTTGACATATATATACCTGCTCTTGCTTGTCTAGTTTTATATATATGTCTGTACTCCTGCATGTGAACTGGCCTCTGGCCTTGCTCTTGTGCTCGGACTGTGTGGTGACTTTGTGATCCACCCTGAGCTTGTTTTGCTTTGCTTGACTGGTCTTGTGACCCCTTGTTCTCCCCCACTTTGCCTATGGGGGTGTGTCAGATTATTATAGCTGATGCATGTTTGTAGGCTATAGTGGGGTAGCACATATGGGGTACAGTTTGCTAGGGTTGTATTTGTACCCAACTCTGACTTAGTCAATTCATTCCTGTTCATTACTTTCACAGAAGACTCAACATTGTCTCACCACAATGCAGTACTCCCAGAAGCAGTATGCCGATCGTCAACGATGTGATAGCTCAGTAGTAGTCGGAGATCAGGTGCTTCTCGACACGCGCAACTTGAACCTGTCTCACCTACTTGTTGGAGTAGGCTAGAGCTCGCTGTGGTCTTTATTTTGGTGTTCTTATATTAATTCTCCATCTTTACAGAGAGTCACGCATTTAGGTTCATTTTAGTTTCATTTCGTAGTTCTTAGTACAAACCAATCACACCCTAGGTTCATTTAGGGTTTCCAACCCTCTTTCTTTTGTACCTCGACATTTTCTTCCTAGTGCAACTTTTTCAACCCTACCTAACTCTCTCGCCATCTATGGCTCCTCTCATCTTAACGTGGTATTCAGACCGTAGTCCTTGGTGTTTCATATTTATCCGTATTTTAGAAATAATCTTTGGCCCTTAGGCCATTTCCGCGCTACTTAGCTAGACTTGTTTTTTTATTATTATCTCCTTTCTTTCCCATCACTCTTAAAAATTGCATTTTTTGTCACATTATACTCTCGGGAATCCCTCAATCCAGTCCGTAGCGCGTCGCCATACCGCCCTTATCACCCTCCCTCGCCTCCTTCTCCTCCCGTTTCTGGCGGTCACGCGCCCATTTTTGCCCAAAGCGCGCTCTGCCGCCCCCCCCCCCCCCCCCCCCCCCCCCCCCCCCCCCCTTCCCCGTCCCGTCGCGCACACATTGCGCTCCCGCTGCCGCGCGCGCTAAGCACCGTCCAGCAGCGCGCGCGCCTGCCCTTCCTTGCGGCGCGCCTGCCCTTCCTTGCGGCGCGCCCTGCCCTTCCTCAATCCGCCCCTTCCCTCACCCTCCTCCTCCTTCCCTCTCTCCTTTGTGCTTCCCCCCACTACCTCACCTCTTCCTCCTCCTTTTTTCTCTCCCCATCTGCTGCGGCTCGCAGCTCCTTGTGGCGCGCCCTGCCCTTCCCACAATCCGCCCCTTCACCCTCCTCCTCCTCTCCTCTCTCCCACTAGTTCTCTCTCCACTATCTCATCCTTCCTCCACCTCTTTCATCTCTTCATCTGCTGCAGCTGGTAGCTGATTGTATTGTGTAGCTGTTGTTCCTCCACACCTTCCCTCCTCAACATCCTCCTCTCAATTACTCAACTGCAAACTCTTCACACTTCTCCCTCCTCTTGTTTCTCCCTTCAGCGGCACAGCAACAGACTTCTCCGCCGCTATCCCTCCTCTTCTGGTTTCTCCCCTCATCGGCGCAACAGCAGACTACTCTGCCATTTTCCCTCCTCCTCTGGTTTCTCCCCTCATCGGCGTAGCAGCAGACTACTCTGCCATTTTCCCTCCTCTGGTTTCTCCCCTCATCAGCTCAGCAGCAGACTACTTTGACATTTTCCCTCCTCCTCTGGTTTCTCCCCGGATCGGCTCAGCAACAGACTACTCCGCCACGTTCCCTCCTCCTCTTGTTTCTCCCCTCAGCGGCTCAGCAGCAGACTACCCCGCCCTTATTCCTCCGCATCTTATACCTCTCCCCACATCTGCTCTGCAGCTGTTTCCTCCTCCTCATGGCGACCTCTCTCGCCCTCCCCTCCCTCCCTCTGTTGGTCCTTTAGCTTGCGCCCGATGGCAGTGCAGTCAACTTCCCCAGTTGGCTGAACTGTCTTGAGCCCTTTGTCTGGCACCCTAGTGAGTGGCTTTAACCTCTGGTTTCTCACTCAGCAGAGTGGTTCTGTCGCCATTCCTACCTCTCCCTCTGCACCCACCTCTTCCTCCTCTGACCCCTATGCTGATGGCCTCCGTGTTGCCATTGCTGAAACTGAGAGGCTTGTGGCCACGGCGCAAGCCACCGCCACGGCTGCTCCTGAGAATGGTGCTGCCCGTGACTTAGCTCGTATTCTTACTGAGTCCCTCGAGAGCACCCGCAAGCGCCTCACTGAGCACCTCGCTGCCCCTTCTCCTCGCTCTGCCTCTACGCCCCTTTCTGTCAGAATATTATCTTATTGTTCTAGCCTGTAGTGGGGTGCTCTATAGCGAGTACAACCCTTCTAGGGTTTGCTATTTGTATCCTCATTCTTGCTAGTTCAATCCTCTTTCTTTCTTCTAATTTTGTCATGCTATCAGAGCAGGTCGATCCCCTTGGATCGATCCTGTGGGTGGGTTTCCACCTCGCTTCCGCTGCTACCTTTCCTTCCCGCCGTGCGCCCCGAGGCGCGCGGCGGTTTTCCTTCCCGCCGTGCGCCCCGAGGCGCGCGGCGGTTTTCTGCCCGCCGTGCGCCCCGGGGCGCGCGGCGGTTCCTTGCCCGCTGTGCGCCCCGAGGCGCGCGGCGGGCGTCTGCCCTACCGTCGCGGCCCCGCCCTGCGTCGCGGCCCCGCCCCTCGAAGCGGCCCTGCCCTACGTCGCGGCCCCGCCCCGACCGTCGCGGCCCCGCCCTACAGTCGCAGCCCCGCCCTACGTCGCGGCCCCGCCCCGACCGTCACGGCCCCGCCCTACGTCGCGGCCCCGCCCGACCGTCGCGGCCCTGCCCTACGTCGCGGCCCCGCCCTGTGTCGCGGCCCCGCCCCTCGAAGCGGCCCCGCCCTACTTCGCGGCCCCGCCCCTCGTCGCGACCCCGCCCCTTTTCGCGGCCCCGCCCTCCAACCAGGCCCGTGGTGGGTCCCTTTCACCACCCCGCCTCCCCCCCCCCCCCCCCCCTTCCCCCTGCCATTTCCCGTCGCCCGTCGCGGCTCCTTCGGGGGCCGCAAGCGGCCCCCTCAGGTCGCCTCGACGGACGACCTGAGGGGCGAGCTGTGGGGTGGCGGGTATGGGGGTGCTCGGTGTGCCTTCCTCCCTTTGCTCCTCCTCCTCCTTCGTCTCCCACTGCTGCAGCTGTCGCTGAGGGGGGTGGTTGTGTGGGAGACTCGGGTTTAGGGTTTAAGGGGGGTGCGTGGGAGTGCAGCTAGCGGTGTAGCAGTGGGTGTGCATCAGGGGGGTGGGACTGTGTGCGGGAGGTTGAGTGGAGGTTGTCAGTTTGTCGTTCGCAGCACCTGTAGTCCGGGGCGCTGTCCCGGTAGCCCAGTCGTAGCCAGCTGTGCCAGCCGCCCGTGGGTCCGTTGCCCGTCCGCCGCTATTTGAGCCGCGGGGCCTGTTACTCCTGTAGTCCGGGCGCTGTCCGGTAGCCGCTGTGCCAGTGTGCCTCCTGTTGCCCGTGTGCCTGCAGCTTCAGCCGTCGCCTCCTATCTCCTCTCCCCTCACTCTCTCTCCTCCTCCTCACTTGCCCGTTGTGACTACCACTAGCTCTGCTCATAATTGTGAACTCTAAACTATCTCTTCTTGAACTTGTGCTCAGAATGTGTGGTGACATTGTGATCCACCCTGAGCTTGTACTGCTTTGCCTGCTCTGCTGATTACACCCCACTTTGGCTATGGGGGTGTGTCAGAATATTATCTTATTGTTCTAGCCTGTAGTGGGGTGCTCTATAGCGAGTACAACCCTTCTAGGGTTTGCTATTTGTATCCTCATTCTTGCTAGTTCAATCCTCTTTCTTTCTTCTAATTTTGTCACTTTCCTCTGCTCCATCTCACTCTGACCTTCTCGCTGATTGGCATTTTGCCAACGCACATGCCTGTCAGGTCATCCTTGTCTGCCTCCCTCCAACTCTTCTCCCTCAGTGCTCGCACATCTGCTATGCCAAGGACCTTCTCGGCTATCTCACCGAGCGCTTTCAGTCACAGACTCCCATCAGCGTCATTGCCCTCTTACGCGAGCTCATCTCTGTTCGTCTTGCTGACTTCACCACCATGGCAGACTACATCGCTCGTGTGCAGACGCTGTCCTCCCAACTTTCCACTCAACAGTTTGAACTTTCCGATCATGTCTGCGGTGCCCTCCTCCTCACAGGCCTCACTCCTGAATACAGTGTTCATGTCGCCTTATATGGTGAGCGCCCTGCCGACCAGTGGTCGTTCTCCCGTGTCTCTGCCTTCCTCCTCCAGGTAGAGCTCAACCTCCGCAGCTGCCCTCCTACTGTCGCTGCTGTCACACCCTCTTCTGTCCTTCTTCCTCTCTCCACCACCATTGCTGCCGCCGCTTCCTCTCGCCCTCGCAACACCTTTCCTCCTTGCACCTACATCATTTGACAAGAGCCCCGCAAGAGTCAGCCCTGCGGTCGCACCAATCATCCCACCTTCTCCTGCTTCCAGAAGCTCACCAACGAATGGTTCCTAGCTAGCAACAGTGGTCGCCCTCCCAACTGGCTCCAACTCTCTTGTCAGCGTTGCCACTCCTCTGCCCGGGCGGTCCTTGCGGCCGTCGACTCTAGTGCTGGTGCTCAGACCTCTGCTCTCAGTGTGACTATGCCTAGTCAGGATAGCATTCTGGGGACTTCTCCCCTTATGGACCCTCGTTTTGCCATGATGTTTGCTCCTTCTGTTAATGGCAATGATTCTCAGTATCTTGGTCCCACAGCTGATGCTCTTTCCCTCCCTCACACTCTTGAGTTTGTTCTTGACAGTGGTGCTACTGGCTCTGTCTTTCGTGATGCTGGTGTGCTTCGCTCTTTTCCCCATCCATCTCCACTCAAGGGGCTGGGGATACCATGACCATGACTTGCACCGCTACCTCTTCTCTTCCCTGTCCTGCCTCCCCCTCTGGTGCTATGACTGGCCTCTATGTTCCTTCCTGCCGCCACAACCTTCTGTCTCTCTCTGCTCTTCAACGTCTTTGTGTGCGAGCAAAATTTCCTGAATGTGACTCCTACTGTGATCTCTATCACCGCAACCGCCATCTTGCACGCTTCACTCTTTCTCCTATCACTCGCCTCTACACTCTTCGTGTCTCTCTTCCCCCTTCTGCCCATCATGCCTCTTCCGCTTCCGCCCCTCCCATTCCCTCCTGCGACTGTCGCTCTCTAACTTAACCTACCCTTCTCCATCATCGACTTGGCCACCCCAACTTTCCCCTTCTTCGCAGTATGGTCTCTTCTAAGCTTCTTCATGGCCTCCCTTCCTCTCTCCCCCCCCTTCCTCCCTCTCCTGCTCCTCCATCCACCCCATGTGTCCAGGTCCAACTCTCCTAGTCACCTCATCCCTCTTCTCCCTCCGCCTCTCCCCAACCCCTTGACCTTGTTCATATGGACCTCTGGGGTCCCTCACCTACTGCTTCTTGTCAGGGTCATCGATATTTTCCGCTTTTGGTTGATGACCACTCACGCTTTGCAACTATCTATCCCCTCCGTGCCGAATCTGACGCTCCCTCCCTCATCATTCGCTGGGCTGAGCAGGCTCGTCTACGTTTTAAGAGTCCTGTCGCGCGCTTCCATTCCGATGGTGGTGGCGAATACTTCAATCACTCTCTCTCCTCTTTTTGTGCCTCTCATGGCATTCGCCAGACCTCCACTCTTCCTCACTCCCCAGAGAAGAATGGGGTTGCTGAGCATCACAATCGTACTCTCATAGAAATTACTCAATGCCTTCTCACACATGCCTCTGCTCCCCACTCTCTTTGGAGCTATGCTCTTCCCCATGCCACTTTACTCTCTAACCTCTGCCCTCATCCTCTTCGCCCCACTACCACCCCTTCTAGCTTTGGACTGGCCGCCAGCCCTCTGTTCGCCCTCTTTGGGTATGGGGGTGTGTTGCCCATGTTCTTGTAAATCCAGCAGACCGATCTCGTCAGGGTGGAAAGCTCGCTCCCAAGACGCAACTCTGTGCATTCCTTGGCATCAACTTTGATTGTGCTGGTTATCTTTTCTATACCCCCTCCTCTCACCAACTCATCTGTAGCCAGGACGTCATTTTTGATGAGACCCACTGTCCATTCCATTCTCCCCCACCCGCCCCTCCTGCCCCTTCTCTTCACTGGTCTGATTTCGATCAGTCATCGTCTGTCCTCCCCTCCCCTCCTCCCCCCCCCCTCCTATCCCGCCTCTTTCCGCCCCTCCCCCCGCACGAGCCTCTACTGCCCCCCCTTCCGACATCATCTATGGCGCCTCCCCACCCGCCTCTTATTCTTCGGCTCCCCTCCCTTCCTCAACTCCATCTTCCTCTCAACCCCCTTCGCCCGTTCCCATCCCCCCCCCTTCCCCGCGCCTTACTCGCTCCATGACTTGCGCCCTTTCTAGTTTTCAGCACTCTGCTCTTTTCACTCGTCTATCTCCATCCCAGGATGTGAATCTTCTTGAAGATCGCTTTGAGGAGCTCTTCACCATTCATCCTGTTTCTCCTCTCCTTTGTGTCACTATCGGTGACTTTAGCAATTTTCCCACTCTTCTCTATTAACACCACTGCCATTCCCACCCCTCAGTCCTACTCCGAGGCCGTGTCGGGCTTTCATGCCACTGAGTGGATGGCTGCCATCATTGCTGAGTGTGGGGCATTTACCAGAACTAATTCCTACATTGACTCTGTCCCCCCCCCCTGGCGCCACCATTGTCAAGGGCAAATGGGTCTTCCGTATGAAGCAGCTGCCCGGCGAACTTCCTGTCTTCAAAGCCCACTACTGTGCCAAGGGCTTCACTCAGCGTGAAGGCATTGACTACTTTGCCACTTACTCCCCCACAGCCCGTCTCCCCACTTTCCGCCTCTCCATTCTCCGCCTCCTTCTTGGCTTAGGTGCTCGCTGGAATTGGGAGATCCATTCCATGGACGTTTCCAATGCTTTCCTTCAGGGCGAGCTGCATGAGCGCATATTCCTTGAGCGTCCTGCTGGCTTTCCTCACCCTTTCCCTCCAAGCACTATTTGGGAATTAAAGCGACCTGTGTATGGCCTTAAACAGGCCCCGCGCGAGTGGCACGTCAAGCTCACCTCCACCCTTCACTCTCTCGACTTCTCTACCTCCAACTCTGACCCCAGTCTTTTCATTCGCACTTCCTCCCACAGGCTCTACATTCTTGCCTACGTGGACAATTTGGTGCTGCTTGCTGAGGACTCCGCCGATCTTGCTGCTGTCAAGAAAGCCCTGCAGGCGCGTGTCCTGTGCAAGGATCTTGGCGAGCTTTGTCACTACCTCGGCATGGAGATCCGTCGTGATCGTGCTGCCCGCACCTTCTCTCTCTCCCAGTCTTTCTACATCCAATCCATCCTCCAACGATTCGAGATGTCGCAAGCCAAGCCGGTCTCCACCCCTCTTCCCGCTAACCATCAGCTCACTGCCCCTGCCGTCCCTGCACCCTCCTCTGAGCTGCGGCCTTATACTGAGCTTGTTGGGTCTCTTATGTATGCTATGATGTGCACTTGCCCCGACCTTGATTACCCCCTCAGTGTTCTCTCTCGCTTTGTCGGTCTAGGCCGCCACACTGACGTGCACTAGGCGGCTGCTAAGCACATCCTGTGCTATCTACGTGCCACCTCTGACCTTGTTCTCACTCTTGGTGGCTCTCTTCCTCCCGTTCTCTCCAGCTACAGTGACTCTTCCTACGCTGACTCTCGCCCTAATCGCTGCTCGTCTCAGGGTTATGGTTTTACTTTTGGTAGTGGTCTCATTAGCTGGCGCTCCACTCGCTCATCCTCTGTCTGCCTTTCCACCTGCGAGGCTGAGTTGTACGCAGGCACCTTGGCAGCTCAGGAGGCTCGCTGGCTCTCCTTTCTCCTTGCTGAGCTTGGTCACTCTCAGTCTTCTGTAACGCTCTCCTGTGATAGTGTAAGTATGATTCATCTCACTGAAAATCCTATCTATCATACCTACAACAAGCATATTAAGGTCCGCTATTTCTTCGTGCGCAAGCTGGTGCAGCCTGGCTTCTTACGTCTTTGCAAGGTGGATGCTTCTGCCAACCTTGCTGACATTTTCACCAAGGCCCTCCTGCGTGCACCACACCGTCTCTACGTGCGCGAGCTTGGGCTCACGCGTCTCTCCACTTATGGGGGTGTGCCGGTTCACTAGGTTTTTTGCTCCAAAGATTCACCTAGCCTGGGGGTGTGTTGGAGTAGGCTAGAGCTCGCTCTGGTCTTTATTTTGGTGTTCTTATATTATTTCTCCATGCATAGAGAGATTTACACATTCAGGTTCATTTTAGGTTCATTTTATAGTTCTCAATACAAACCGAACACACCCTAGGTTCAATTAGGGCTTCCAACCCTCTCTCTTTTGTACCTCGGCATTTTCTTCCTAGTGCAACTTTTTCGACCCTACCTAACTCTCTCGGCATCCATGGATCCTCTTATCTTAACACTACCATATAAGCTCCGGCCTCGCTTCTGTGGTCCTTTTCTCGCTGAGGCACATATGACACCAGTAACATTCCGCTTGCGCTTACCTACGACTTGGAAGCTTCACGTCGCTTTCCATTTTCAGCTACTAAAGCCATACAAGGACCCCAACCAACAGTTCCAGGGACGACAGTGTCAAACTTTTAGTCTGTGTAGGCTGTAGTGGGGTAGACTATATGGGGTACAACATTTCTAGGATTTCCCACTTGTACCCACCTGCTTGCTATTTCATTCATTCCTCATTCTTCACATGGTATAGAGCAGGTTCCCTCGTGGGAACGCTTCTCAGGGCCCACCACCTAACTCGATCTTTTTTTTTCCTGCCCGAGGCGCGCCCCGTAGGCCGCCCTCACATCGTGCCCTTCTAGAGGCCCCTCGCGCCACCCTTAGCGGCCCCGTCGCCGTCCTTTGCGGCCTCGTTGCCGCCCCTCTAGGCCCCTCACGGCCCCTTCGCGGCCTCGTCGCCGCCCCTCTAGGCCCCATCGCCGCCCCTCTAGGCCCCTCGCGGCCCCTTCGCGGCCCCGTCGCCGCCCCTCTAGGCCCCGTTGCCGCCCCCCCCTAAGCCCCTCGCGGCCCCTTCGCGGCCCTGTCGCCGCCCCTCTAGGCCCCGTCGCCACCCTCTAGGCCCCTCGCGGCCCCTTGGCGGCACCGTCGCTGCCCCTCTTGGGCCCACCGCTGCCCCTCTAGGCCCCTCGCGGCCCCGTCGCCGCCCCTCTAGGCCCCGTCGCTGCCCCTCTAGGCCCCTCGCGGCCCCTTGGCGGCCTCGTCGCTGCCCCTCTTGGGCCCGTCGCCGCCCCTCTAGGCCCCTTGCGGCCCCTTCACGGCCCCGTCGCCGCCTCTACCGGCCCCGTCCCCGCTAAGCCGCCTAGCAGCCGAGCAGCCGAGCCGCTGAGCCACCCATCAGCCGAGCCGCCCAGCAGCCGAGCCGCCGAGCCGCCGAGAAGCCGAGCCACCGAGCCGCCCAGCAGCCGAGCCGCCCAGCAGCCGAGCCGCCCAGCAGCCGAGCCACCGAGCTGCCCAGCAGCCGAGCCACCGAGCCGCCCAGCAGCCGAGCCGCCGAGCCGCCCTGCCGTCGAGCCGCTCTTGTCACTGCCGAGCCGCTGCCACCGCGGTTACAGCCCTGTTCCTCCGGCACGCCCCGGCCTTACTCACTCGGACTAGTGAGATCACTCCCTGCTAGACCACAGCTGTCATGGCTACCCCTAGTGTCCTTACCTTTGATGCTGAGGGTCGTGCTGTTGACTTTGAGGTCTGGGTCGATGACCTCAACCTGTTCCTCTAGTGCGATAGGGCAAACGGACTCTCCCTGTTCGATCTCACCTCTGGTGCCTCTCCTGCCCCGCCTACTGATGCTGACAGCACTGTTCGCTCACAGTGGGCCACACGCAATGCT